GTTCCATGGATATTTTATTTATTTTATTATTTTATTATTTCATTTCATTTATTATTTTATATTTTATTTGGTCTTTTTGAGACAGGGTCTCTTCTGTAGCCCCAGCTGGCCTGGAACTTGCTCTGTAGACCAACCTGGCCTTGAACTCACAGAGATCGGCCTGCCTCTGCCTCATGAGTGCTGAGACAAAGGGTGTGGGGCACCATGCCCTGCTTCCATGCATAGTTAAAAAGAAGTAATAGGCTAGAGAGATAGCTCAGCAGATAAGAACACTGACTGTTCTTGCAGAAGACCTGGGTTTGAATCCCAACAGCCACATGGCAGCTAACAACTGTTCTTAACCCCAGTTCCAGGGGATGTAACTCCAGTTCCAGGGGATCAGACAGTCTTTTCTGTCCTCACAGGCATTGCACGACACGGGTGCACTTACCTAATATGCAGGCAATACATGCATACACATAAAATAAAAATAATAAATAAAATTTTAAAAAAACAATGCAGTGCACATGAGCAGATGAATCTGTCAAGTATAATATGCTTTTTTCTGTATGCTAATATATGATTTAATGATTATTTTAAACATCAGACAATTGATACAGGATTATTTATCCAATAAATATGTATTTAACACTAAAAAGTCTAGTAATTATACTAGAGCCTGGAGCTATAAACACATACTTTCATTTTCTGCTCAATTTCTATTTCTCAGTAAAGAAATGCATTGATGATTACAAGTAATATTACATTAGAGTGTCATATATAATCTGTCAGTGATAACTAATAAAATTAGATCTTTTACATGTTATCTCATTGAATTCTCCCCACAGCCTTTGAACACAGGTGTCATAAACATTTTATACAGGAGGAAAATAAGATTCATATTAGTACCTGGCAAGGTCATATTATTTCTCAATGGTATAGCTAGATTCAAATGTTGAGCTACTTATCCTGAAATCTGTGAACCGAGATTTGGCTCACATCTAAGAATTTCCATGACATACAAGCAGATTCCAAAGAGAAGAAAGGACCCCCGATACAGGTGTGTGAGAAACAGCAGAATAATAAATATTACTGAAAACTTAAGGAGGAGGGTCTGTTTACCAAGATGAACTAGGCAGAGTCAGCTATACAAGCAAGAGGAACTGGAGTTCGCACAAAATTGAGAGGGAGTAAGAGGGTGTGACAGGAGTTGAAGGGGAGATGGGAGTGGAAATGAAGTAAATTCAGTACTTATGTATAAATATCAAAAAAGTAAAAATTTACATTATAAAAAAATCACAAAAGGAAGGAAAAATGAATAAGCCTGAAAGATTGAGTTTATGATTTCAACAGAAATCATCTATTTCTTGGTCTGTGTAGAATATTATTGTACATGGTTGGAGATTATGAAGCATAGTTTTACATTAGTCAAGGGCACAATATTGATAGTCATCTACGTGGAGAACAAACAATGAAGAGAAATTATTATAATCCAATGGTCTATGAGTAAAAATAGAACGTGTTTGTATTTGTTTATTTCACCCTTTAAAAATGTTAGGAGGTCCCATCTTCAACTGAGGAGCTTTTGGAACTGATAGCTGCTGGAGAGAGAGACAGAGACAGAGACAGAGACAGAGACAGAGAGTATTCTTTAAGGGTGTGACCCCTGGTAGGTCAATTATGCTCCAGTGGATACCCACACACCCAAGAGTTTATAGACAGCACAAGATGGATTTAATGGGTTGAGGGGAGGGAGAAACCGAGAGAGAGAGAGAGAGAGAGAGAGAGAGAAACACAAAGAAAGTTGGGTGGACAAGGAGGGGGTTTGAACCTGGGAGGAGTTGAAGGAGGGAAGAGGAACATGATCAAAATACATTATGTGAAATTCTCAAAGAACTAGTAAAAAATGAGGAGGAAAAATGCCATTTTTCTGTTGCTCTCATAATAGATATGAAGTATATTATTTCAGTAGTAGCTACCTATAATTTTGAATGGATAAATATAAAATATAATTATAACCAGGGAGGTGTTCCTTTTAAAAAAAGTATCAGTCTAAGGCCGGGCACGGTGGCACATGCCTTTAGTCCCAGCAATTGGGAAGCAGAGGCAGGCAGATCTCTGCGAGTTCCAGGACAGCTGGGGCTACAGGGAGACCCTGTTTCAAAAAGATTAAAAAAAAAAAGTATCAGTCTAATAACCATATGCCATGACTATATTGCATTTATAATGAGAATAGAAGCTGGTTACTCAAGGAATATGAGGTTCTAACTGTGAAAATAGCAACAATCAGCTGAAGGGTCCCATTCTGTGTTGAGGCTGTGAGGAAACCAAGCACCAGCACACACTTGTGTCCTCGCCACACAATCGCTTCTCTCACCCCTGTATTCTGACTTTGCCCCCACTGCTACTGTTTCCACAGCTCAGGTCTCTTTCTAATTACAACGTCAAATGTCTCCTTATAAACTCTCATACATGACAGGGATACTCTGTGTTTCTCTCTCTCTCTCTCTCTCTCTTTCTCTCTCTACTCTCTCTCACCTCTTTCTCTCCTTTCTTACCTCTCCATTTCTGTTTCCCTCCCCTCTCCAAAAATTTAAATTCAATTCATTTCACAAATACATAAAATTATATATATAAAGGAGTGATATCTATACTTTATGTAAACTATATTAATATATGCCTGCACTTAATAAATCTATACATGATATAAATCAGCTTAAGCATTTCTCTCTATATAGTGAAAATCTTTCTTTTATTCATTGAAATTAAACTGTGATTTACTGTGTGTTTAGCTCTTTTTTTAGCCCCTGCTGGCCTGGAACTCCCTAAACCATGGCATTTGCTCATTAACAGCAGGAAGAGCTCTAGAGATGCAAACCCTCCTTCAGAGGATGCTGTTAAGAGTGCTGGCAAACATTTAGCTCCACATGCTTGAGCTCCAGTCTCCCTTTAAACTGCAGAAAATTGAAGTGACATTTCAGTTTAAGTTAGCTAGTAAATTAGTTCGTTTGGTTGGTTGTTTGTAAGACAAAGTCTATATATGGTAGCCTGGCCTCAAATTCATAATTTTGTCTTTTTGGCCTCCCGAGTGCTAGGATTATAGGTGTATGCTATCACATGTGGCTTAAAATATAAATTGTTGGGGCTGGAGAGATGGCTCAGCAGTTAAGAACACTGGCTGTTCTTGCAGAAGACTCACGTTCGAATCCCAGCACCCACATGGCAGTTAACGACTGTTCGTAACTCCAGTCCCAGGGGATCCGACAGCCTCTTCTGTCCTCTGTGGGCATTGCATGACATGGGTGCACTTACTTACATACAGGCAATACACACATACACACAAAATAAAAATAATAAATAAATATTTAAAAATATATAAAAGTAATATTTATATTACTTTGATATATATACTATATATAATTGCTACATGCTTTTTTATTATGGAATTATGAATAATGAGGTTTATCATTTTTTAAATTATTTTTTATTTTGTGTGTATGCATGTATTGCCTGCATGTATGTGAGTGCACCCAGGTTGTGCGATGCCCATGGTGGTCAGAAGAGGGCATTGCTGACTGTTGTTGGCCACCATGTGGGTGCTGGGAACCAAATCTAGGTCCTCTTCAAGAGGACCAGTGCACTTAACCACTGAGCCATCTCTCCAACTCCATGAAGTTTATCTTTGAGATAAAATTAATTCAGGAACACTTTCTTATATGAAAGGGCAATTTTAATAGAAAACACAAATTAATTTGAAATACTCTTCTATACACAAAATTGTGTAGAATTAATCTTTAAAACAATTAGATACTACTGATTTGAGAAACAATTCCTGAACTTTCAAAGACCATATTGTGCTAAATGTTAACAATCAAATGATAAAAGCTTCATAAAAAGACACCTGAGCATGTAAGTAGATACACATAGCAGAGTGCATAACAGTATCTTCACTCTTGTTCTTTATCTTTTTCATACCTAGCTAGTCCTCAAATAAAACCCATAGTAATTCATGGAACCCCTCCTGTGCACGTCTTCATCATCTCTCTGCATAAGCCATCATCTCTGTCTCCCATGATGCACAACAGTCTCTGGGAAGTCTGCATGGCCAAGACTTGGCCAACAAATCTTTTTGCTTTGTGCCGTGATGTTCTCATCTAGAAATAACACCTAGCTCTCTCCTTGAAAAATGCTATCAAGATAATCAGATGAGATACCCTGTGAAAAGATCTAGCTCTCTGTTTTACCTAGTATTCTACAAATGCAAGTTTTTATATTCCCTCACACTCAGTGTTCTCAAAAAATTCTTTAACACAGTACTTCAAATAACTTTATTAATGGTTGCTTAATAAAATTATGTCAAATTTAATTTATAATTGTTCTAGATGCCAAAACTAAAAATCATACCTAAGGAAAATGAAAATGATGTTCAGTGTCATTTGTATCTCAGGTGGTACAGGTGAATATCACCCTCAATCTTTTGATCCCAAGATGTGCAACAGAATTGGTTCCTGTACACTGATGTACATTTACATTCTCAATTCTGAAATTTGACTACTTGTTATTTGAAATTAATTTTAGAGTGTATTTCTGTAGTTTTTTTCTTATCATTTAATTAATATAGCTTGTTTCTCTATTAAATTCATGGAGGCAACTCATAAGGAAATCTCCTAAATTAGACTGTTAAATAAAATTAATTTAACTAACCACAGTTTAAAAGGCATAAACCCTTGGCTTATTATGTATCATGAAGTTATTTTTTAAAGAATTAATACCATCCCTGGCCTTCAGTATTCATATGTCAAGTCTTAAATACAAGTTGGCAGAGAAGCTCATCCCATGTACTCTCTATACTAGGCAAAAGGTAATTTGGCACAGAAAAATGAAGTATTTTTTCTGAGCTGGAAACTGCCTTTGCCCAATATAAAACAAACAGAAAACTTTTAAAAAAATAAATATACTTTTATTTCACATAGTCATAATTGATATTTTACAGAATAATATCTTTCTCAAATTGGTGCATTCTAACCCTCTGCAGTGATTTTGGTTCGAACAAATATCTGGATAATCTTCTTTCGTATTTCCTTGGTCTTCACAGTATAAACTATGGGGTTTAGCACAGGGGGGACAAGGAGGTAGGCATTGGCCATGAGGGCATGAGTCAGTGGTGACAGGTGCTTTCCAAAGCGATGAATGATTGACACGCCAATCAGTGGCACATAAAAGATGAGCACAGCACAGGTGTGTGAAACACAGGTGTTGAGGGCCTTCAGCCGGCCCTCCCCAGAGGCAATAGCCATCACTGTTCGGAGGATGAACACATAGGAGAAGAGGATGGAGAGGGAGTCAGAACCCTTAGTGAAGATGACAGCGATGAGGCCATAGAGACTGTTGACCCGGGTGCTGGCACAGGCGAGACGCATGACATCTTGATGGAGGCAGAAGGAGTGGGAGAGGATGTTGGAGCGGTAGAAGGGAAGCCTCTTGATGAGGAAAGGCACAGGGAAGACCACGCAGACTGCTCTTGACAAGATGGCTATCCCTACTTTGCAGACCACAGCACTGGTTAGAATGGTGCCGTATCTGAGGGGACTCCAGATCGCCACAACCCGATCAAAGGCCATTGCTACCAGCACGCCTGACTCAATGGCTGAGAAGGTGTGGATGAAGTACATCTGGACGAGGCAGGCATCAAATGCAATGAACTTATAGCTGAACCAGAATATGCCTAGCATAGAGGGCAGAGTGCAAAGGGCGAGTCCCATGTCTGCAAATGCTAGCATACACAGAAAGTAGTACATGGGGATATGCAGGGATGATTCAGACCTGATGGTGGAGATGATGATACCATTGCCAAAGAGGGCAATGGCGTATATGGCACCCAGGGGGAATGCCATCAAGTAATACTTCTGCTCAAGCCCTGGAATCCCAGTTAAGACAAAGTATGGGTGCTGGAAGGACGAATGATTATGATCTGCCATGAAGCCCTGTGATGTAGGCATGGGGAGGAATCAGCAGGATCCTGATCAGTGGCTTCCTAAAATTACAGTGAGAGGGTTCATCCGGGTGTTAGAATCTGATCTCCTGAAATACAGCCATTTTTAATTCCCATGATTGTATATATGGAATGCCTGAAATGACTAAGGTATTTCCTTTTGAAGAAGATTTGGGTAAAATGACCAGCCCAAGTATAATTCAGCTGCATTTAGGTTAATGCTCACACTGTAGGAACAAACCTAAAAGGTGAAAGCAAAACAAAACAAAAAAACCAAAAAAACCCTCTTTCCTCTTTCCTATCTTTTCTTTCTCCTTCCTAATGAGTATCTTATATCAGAGTTAGTCAGAAGCTGAGGACGAACAGAATGCTCTTTGAAGACTGCTTTACCCTAAAACATTCACCAGCTTTCTTTATGAATTGATTGGGATCCAGTTTACTAAGAAGCAATGCAGCACACATCTCATATTCAAATCCACGCTCTCCATGTACAGTTTCTATGTGAGTAATGCCCAGGACAATGGCAGTGAAACAGCTGGCTAGGGATAAATCACAGCCGACACAATTCTAACGTCGGTATAAAATGGGGAATTTTTGATTTGCCACAATGGAAGCCACTCCTGTGAATCACACTCCTTGGGCCCAGAGTTCTCAGGAAGGCAAGGATCCTTGTCTCTGGACACATGAAAATTCCCAGTTCTTATTTGCATGATTCTACTTTGAGCACAAACTTTCTGTACCCTGTAGAGTCTGGATGTAACCTCAGAATAAGTCTCAATCCAGACACTGCAGAGAGTCGCTTCAGTCAACCAAAATGAAATCATTTGTCATTTTAAATTGCTAACATAGTAGTGGAAGGGAGAATAAACTACGTTTGTAGATGCAACAGCAAATTTCCTTTGCATAGTAGCCTATGCTATTCAAAATAGAAGATGTCAGGGCTCATTGAGTGATCTTCCTAGTATCCAGATCACGTTGCAATTTCCTACTTCTAAGGCACATTGATTTTGTCACACACCCTGACTGAGAGATAGGTTTGGACACCTTAATGGAGATGTGTAAGCTACACTTATATTACTAGAGCTCTGTTTTCTACAAAGACCCCCTTGAGAGAATCTTGGTATGACTCAGCCAGAAGGTAGAACACACTTTTGAAAACCTCTCAACCTTAAAACATTCATCAGTTTCCTTTATCAATTGATTGGGGTTGATCTCCTTTATCAACTAATTGAGTTTACAGGAAGCAATGTGCATCATGTTTTCAGATCCCAGGTCCCCATGTATAGTCCTTGTGTGAGCAATCTGTGGGCAGTGACAGCATTTACTCATAGGATCAGTGTCAGGATAAGACAATAATGTGGCTTTTATTATGATTACTTGGAATAGGCATAGGTAGTCAGTATTGATACTGAATTTTTTGTTTGTCTCTTTTGCCTCTTGATTTTGTTGTTTCGTTTGGAGGTTTTTGACCAGAGTTGTTTTTAATGCAGTGAAAATTGAAATACATAGGGAATCTATCACAAGAATTCTATCTAACTGGCCTCCTTTATAATTTAACAAGAATTTACCCTCTGCTCTGAAATTATTAAGTATCTCATCCTGAGGTTTTACATCCATTCCTGGCTGGTTCTTTGACATGATGGATAAAAATATATTAGAGCTGTTTATTGCTGTGTTTTAAATCTCCCAAGACTCTCTCTCTAAAGATTTCTAATTAGGATTCCCAGCTAAGATATTTTACTTATTTCTAAGCTGTAGTCATTTCTTTCCATTGTGCTTAGGAAATACTGTTGAATACATGTTCAGATACTTGATACATTAGCAACATATATTTCTGTCTCTTCAATAAATTTATTTCAGATTTATTTGCCTTAGTGGGTTTTAAAAAAAAGAAAATTGTTGTTCATGAAATAGTTGTAATAAAGGGTTTGGGAATGAGAAAATTTAATCCATGAGTACATAAAAGAATGAATAAAAAGTAAAGTGAATAGGGAGAGGAGAAAACAGAGCAAATAGAATTTCAAAGAATAGTAGAGATTACAGTTTATGTGTGTCACATTTTATTAACAAAGTTCTTAAGCCCACATAATGAAACTAACATTTCTTTAATCAATCACCTTTCAAAGAGGGAAAAAAATGAGACTAAGAGAAAAGGAATTGCACAACCTTGTTAAAAATTCTAACTAAGGGATTAGAGAGATAGCTCAGTCGTTAAGAGCACTGGTTATTCTTGCAGAGGATCTGAGTTTGAAACTCAACATCTACGTGGTAGCTAACCACCATCTTAACTCCAGTTCCAGTGGCTCCAATGCCCTCTTCTGACCTCCATGGGCATTGCACAACACAGGTGCACTTACATTTAGGCAATATACTCATACACATAAAATAAAAATAGTGATTAAAAAGAATTCCAACTAAATATGATGGGAATCACAGATGTAATTAGAAAAGGCAAAGTGAAATTTCAGCTCTTGGTGCACACCCTTTTTTGTGTGGATCTCCAAGTCTTGTCATCTATTCATATTATCCAATATCTAGAATTCAGATGGGGTTCAATCTATCCTTTGAAGACTGGGCTCTTGGACCCCAAGCTCTCTACTGCAGTTTCATCTGGCCCTGACCGTCTACTCTATATACTGCCTCATTTCTGGAAAAAAAGAGCAGATTGTGTAAGTGTTATGACTCTGCACCTTGGGCTCCTACTAGCTTTGCAGCCACGTTGTACATCCTAGGTTGAGGAAGCAGTTGGGAATTTTTATGGTATGTGAATAGCAGCAAATAAACAAAAGACAAACTTCTATTTGCTGTAGCGCAGTAAAGAACTCTTAGGTTTCTAAAGAGTCCAGGGCGTTCATAGCTGGTAGGATAAGACTAGGGGTAGAAATAGAAGGGAAAATGTACACTTCATTATTTCAGGGTATGTGCTGGGCAGAAAAAACTAAAGAAATAAGAATAAAATAAAACTCCAGGACAGATTAATTGTAACTACCTTCACTTGATGACAAACCACAAAATTCCACCTTAAGGAGGGAGATTTCCAAACTCTAATCATTCTAGTTTCCAGAGGAAAAAAATTTAAGGATCCTGATCAACACATAAATAAGCATACTTATCTTCTGCCTCCACTAATCCCAGGACTGGGAATGCCATCCCTTCAAAGGCAATGCGTTCACTCTAGAAGACCATCACCACCGCCCTCTTACACCACTAGATTAAAGACCTTCACAGATTTTTCATCTTCCCTGAAAAGCTGATACGAGTGAGAAACAGAACAAGACACACAATACAGGCTGCTTGCATTGGGGAATCAAAGATAAGTGAAAGCTAAGTGACCACACAAAACAGGAGAATGCTAACCTAACATCTTGTGCCCACGGTCAGCTGTATTTCCCTGCTTTGTGCTCACACCTACCTGACTGTTGAGAAGACCCCTAGCTAGATGAAGATGCCTAAGCAGTTGGAGGTTCACCTGGCCAAACCATTTCCATCACACCATGAGGACCTTTATGTACAGAGCTACTCTAGAACTCTTTTTTAGTGTTCCAGGGAGAGCTTTGAATATAAACAAGGTCATTCCCCTGAGCTTACAAGAGAGATCTATCAGGGCTATTACAGAGATCTATCAAGGCTATTAAATCATCCCCAGTCACTCATGTCTGGAAAATGAGATCATACTGAGGACACTATTAAGAAAGTAGGTAGAGGGAGTTCCACAGGTTAATTTTTACTCACTTACATTTTCTCATGACTGTCTTAGACATCTCACTGTTTCCATTCCCTGAGCAAATGGTAGTCATTCTTATTTTTCTTGGAACACATCCAAATAGAAAACAGTCTCCAAGAAAAGCAACTTCATGATTTTTCCATTCAAAAAAAGCTTCCAAAGTTGAAATAAATTTTCTCATGAATTTTTTCTGATATTTCATCTGCATTGTCCAGTCATCAATATCTATATAATAGGCTATCCACATAGTTCTTGACCTTTATAAAAGGTAAACAGGAGATCATCAGGGAAGTTAAATATATACATCAATCAAAGTACAATGAATATTCCACAATACTCACTTATCACCTTAAGATAATGCCACTCTCCATAACTATACTATGAATAACAATAACAAAACAGTAATACATCAGCAATAAGAATAGCAAACAATATCTAATAAAAAATTCTGGGCCTTATCACCACATCACTAACATTATTTATTGCAATCATTTATATTTTAGTCATTATAATACTCAATAATCCTCCTAAATATGTTATCTTACCCCCATTGTTCAAAAATGAGAATCATGCCGGGCATGGTAGCACACACCTTTAATCTAGCACTCAGGAGGCAGAAGCAGGTGGATCTCTGTGAGTTCAAGGCCAGCCTGGTCTACATAGTGAGTTCCAGGACACCTGGTACTACAGGGAGACCCTGTCTCAAAAAGCTCCCCCCCCCAAAAAAAAAAAAAAAGAATCTTTATAGGGATTGGCCCAGACTCAGTAAATTTGTAGGAATTCAATTGTACTGATAACATAGGACAGAAATAACAGAGCAGGAACTCTTCACTGAGTGTGTTCCTGGGCCTCTGGATCTTAATGGTCACCATAGCTAGGTACAAAGAAACCATCTCATAGATCAAAGCTCATGTAGTAACTTCCCTTATTCACCTGATATTCATCCACATAATAGTCCCAGAATTATTTGGTATTGATGTAGATCATTCTTACAGTACTACAGCCTCTCAACAGGTTGAGTTTCTTAGCTCAAAGGTTATCCTATGCCACATAATCACTTGCTGCTCTGATTTCCTCTAATAACATGAAGACCAGCTCTGCTTGCAGTGTCATAACCTCTCCATCACAGCATCCATAGTAAACATGCCGCCTTGCAGCACAGCTATGCTATGGCTCACACTTTTATTGATGTCAGCACTTAGATGTTGGTATAATTGAATCACTAAAATTGTGGTTAAATACTTAACCCGCACTGTTTTATT